GGCTCAGGTGATCTCCCACCTCAGTCTCCTGAATAGCTGAGAGCACACACAGATGCCACCATGCCTGGCTAATTTTTGTATTTATTTATTTATTTTTTTTTGTAGAAACTGTCTTACTGTGTTGCCCAGACTGGTCTCTAACTCCTAGATTCAAGCAATTCTCCTGCCTCAGCCTCCCAAAGTACTGGGAATACAGAGCCACAATTCCTGGCCATCTTTTTATTTTTTATTTTTAACAATTTGGCTTATTTTTAGCATTTAGCCATGGGTGGGGCATTTTGAATGAAAGAAAATGCGAGTGAATTTCTTTCAGTGCATATACAATATGAAAGAAAAGAAAGCTTTTTTTCAGAATGTATTTTCCAAGACTGTCTTCCATATTCATTTGAGAATGTGCCATGAGCTGACAAATGTGGACAACCTCATAGTGTCTGACACATTAGGAAAATATGGGGACACCAGAGAAAAAGTTTCAGTGAAGCTTTGGCCAAAAAGTGAGGTACATCTAGAAGGGAGAGACCCAGGGGTGTGGGCATTTCTGCCGTAAGAGACTCCATCTTCTCTTCAGTCAGTGGAATCATTTTTTTTTTTCCAAACAACAAAATCTCTGTGACTTTAAAGGCCACTTACTGGCTTCCAAAACAGGAAGAGGTTGTCAAGGAGCCAAAAACATCTTGGAAATGAGTCCTCCTAGGTCTGTGTCAAGGAGTGTGACTTTAGCAACTCACTGAATTAATCATAAGAGTCATGGTGGTGGGTGGGCAGGCAGCAGCAGGGTGATCAGCAGGCCTTCGCTGAGTGACCACACATGTGGTGCTTACCTGTGAGACCAGGGGAACTCACCACATCTGAACTACGGAAAGACGGGCAGTGTGGGGAGTCTGAACTGTTAACTCCCGTGGCCCACTCCTCCCCACCCCCTCAACCTCTTTTCATTGGTTGAGTGTCATATTTATCAGGTCCACAGAGGTGAAAAATGTTGCAACTCACTTGCCTGGGTGCTTGGGATGAATGTCTAGGGGCAGAGGCAGATATTAAAAGGCAGGTATAGTCTCTGTCTTCAATGGTTTTATGATCTAATGTGCAAGGCCAGAGCAACTCACATAAAACCAGCTGAAATACAGAATACCGTGTACAGATGGAGCAAGTTTGACTTGCCAACCCAGTAGCAGTTGGGAAACTATCAGTGTAACATAGGAGGCCAGCAGTGTCCTCTTTCCGCAGAGGGCTTTGTCAGTTTGCAGCATTATAGGACATCCTTTGTTGTGAACTGCCTCAGCTTCCTCTTGTGTGAAGCATTCTAAGTTGGGAGGCTTTCTTGGATTGTGGAGGTGATCAGAGACAGCTGTCACCTAGCTGCTATGATTTGCTTCCTCAAAACAGAGAGGCAGAGAGAGAACCTTACTTAGGGCACTTTGTGTCTAAGTGTTATGACTGTCCATTCCTCATTTACTCAACAAGTGTTATTGAGCACCTACTGTGCTCCAGGCATAGCATTGGGCTTTGAAGATAGAGTGAGAGCAGCCCTGGCAAGATCTCTGTCCTTAGAATGCATGAGGTGGGCAGTAATCACACAACACAAAAATTCATTGCAACAATCCTATGGTTTGGGCTGTTAATGGCCCTGTGGCAGGCACAAAGTCAATGGCCATTAACTGGGCAGGCATTCCTTCCTGTCCTCTCTGTCCCTCTCCCAACCCCACTGTCTGTTGTTCAGGACCAGTTAGATTCAACTAAGTTTTCAAATGAATCCCTTACTATCTGAATTCCCACATTTACCATCTGAATTCTCACATTTACTATCTGACTTCCTACATTTACTGTCTGATACATGGATTTGGTAACACTGTATCCCTCAAAACTCAAACTTGCTGTCTGAATTCTGATATTTGAATGCAGTAACCAAGTCTATTTGGATACAGATGGATGGGTATAAAGATAAGTGAATGGGCCAGGTGCAGTTCCTCACACCTTTGGGAGGCCAAATCAGCAGATTACTTGAGACCTGGAATGCAAGACTAGCTTGGGCAACATGGCGACACCCCAATCTCTACAAAAAATACAAAAACTAGCTGGGTATGGTCATGCAGGTCTGTAGTTCCAGCTACTTAGGAGGCAGTTAGAGGATTGAGTCCAGAAGGTTGAGTCTGCAGTGAGCTGTGAAAGGCTATACTGTCTCATAGGCAGGAATATGGAGGTTGAGGATGTTCTGACTCAGTGATGACTGATACTGAATGAGGCATCAGGTCTGTGCAGCAATATAAAACAGAAATCATTAATGGAATACAGCTCACACTCGGGACTTTGGTAGTGTGTCTGTCCTTCAGTCTTTTTCTGACTATATATATGACAGACTGGACCTTAACCTGCTCATTTGCATCTGACTTTGCCAGCAAAGATTAATAACTTTGCAGAACTTCGTCCTTTCAAAGAGGCCATTTTGGGGAATACAAGGGTCTCCATGCTTTCTGAACTCTTCTCCAGGTAGGAATCTCCGGATGACCCAGACATTATCCAGTTGAGTCCTTCCTATTTCCTGGCAGCTGTGCTGTACCTGCCCAACTCCAGAGACACAAGAAGCCAGACTCAATTATGCCTCATGGCTATGAACATTAACCACGTCTTCCCAAGTCAATCGGTGTGTGCATTCTGTCTACTCCATTTGAGAGTTAAAGAGACGTTGAGTGTCATATCTGTCAGATCTGCAGAGGTGAAAAATGTTGCAAGCCACTAGCAAGCCAGGGCCAGTGGGACATGTGTGCTCTTGCAGCAGAAAAGGTGAAAGCTGTGCTTCTATTTTTACAGTGGGAAGCTACTGTAGTGGCATCTGGTGTTTCTGCTGCCCAGCCTCCATATACTTCTGTCCTGGTAATGTCACCTCCCCCTCGAGTGACATTGTTCAAGTCATTGGATGAAGTCTAGCCTGAAGCCATTTTTACTCTGAACTTCTAACTTCCTAAGGTAATAAGTTCCCTTCATGACTAAAGCCAGTTAGAATGGATTTTTCTAACATTTATTATTGAAAGAATCCCAATGGATACAACTGCCTATTCTTTCCCCCAGGTATCTCTGGATTTCTTCTGGCCCCTCTCTTCTTTTTCATGCAAGTAGTAAATTGCTTCTGAAAAAACAGATAAAGCAATTTCTTAGTGGGAAAAGAGTTTAATGAAGAGGAGTCAATAAGGAGATAAGCAATTGTCTCCAAAGTCTTTATGACTGTTTTCATGACTGTTTCAATCATTTAAAAACATTTATTCAAAAAATATGATTTATTGAGTACCTTCTGTGTACCAGGCAGTATTCAAGATGATGGACATGGCTGTGGTTCACCACATGAACAAAGTTATAGCTCTCCTTAAGCCCACAACCTAGAGAGCAGCAGGGGCAGGGGCAGGGAGACAAACAATAGGCAAATTAATACATCGGGGAAATCTTGGGTAGTGAAAAGTGCAGAGTTCAGCAGGATGTTACCGTTTGGGCTCTGGTCAAGTAGAGAGGGATACTCCCCCTCTTCCTTTCACTAAATGCAATTAACAGCCCTGGACAGAATGCATGGAGAACTAACTGAGGATTCTTTAAAAAAGAGAAAAAAAGGAGGATTCGGGAAGGAAACCAGATTCTACAGCTGTTTTTCCTCTGGTACCTCTTAGCTGGGGCCCAGAGACCACCTGAAACCCAGAACTGTACACAGGATGCAGACAAAGATGTTTCCCAGAGAATCCCTGTTTCTAGTCTGGGGAATGGGAAAGAGAGCCCCAAAGGGTCAGGGAGCGTTTAGAAAATCCCTGTTTATTTATTTATTTTTTTCATTCTGTCCTTCCTCAGTTCCTGGGCAGTCTAGTGACAGTGGCAGCGGCAATGGAGTAGCAGCCAGGCAGGTACCTGGAACTCTGAGAAAGGGGAACCTTTGTCTCTGACCAGAGGAACCATCATTCTAAAAGCATGGGGGAATAATTGTCACATCTGTGTTTCCCTCTTTCTCTCTCTCATTGCTTTTGGTCCTGAAGACAGACACAGTCACAAGAAGTACACAGCAGAGCAGGAAAATGAAAACCCTGGTCTTTAGCCAGAGGACCAAGGCATATCTTAATTTCTTAACATACTAATTGCTTCAGTAGGTGGAAGTGGCTCAGACCCTCTCAACTTAAGAGTCTAAGGAGTTATGGGTTATGTTATCTCCATTTCATAGATGAGATATAAGCCTAAGAAGGTTGTTTTTCTTCTTAAGCTTCTCCTACTATGCCATGTTGTCCATGGGCAAGTCAAAGGTATACTACAGCCTGTAAGAGTGGCAGTGCTTATTTTCAACCATTAAGAGGGGTGGCAAGATGTGAGATAAATGAAGAAACTCCCGCTTTGCTTGGATTCATCCTGTAAACAAGGTGGTGTAGGTGAGATTAGGGTTGGCAGGTGGGATTACGGTCTCCCTTCCTTCCTAGTTTCCATAGCCTGGGAAAAGGGCTGATCCGCCTGGTTTGAGATCCACTGCAATGCCTTTGCTTTAGGCTTCATTTGTCCAAACTCCTCTCTCCCTTAGCCCTCCCCAGACCAGGCAAAGGCCTAGTTGGCTGGTTTCCCCACCTGTGGCCCTGAGGGCAGGACCTGAAATTCACCATTTCTGCTAATGAAGTCAGGAAGTGGAGTCTTCTAATTACTGCAGCCCTCACACAACCTTCCCCACATCCTCTCCACACTAGAGAGCAGCGAGGGGCAGGAAGAAGGGACCCAACCCCAGGCATCCTGAGTAGACTCTGGGACACCAGGCCTTTCAGGGTGGGTCAGGAAAATGAAGGTTCGCCAACTCAAAGGTGGTGGGGAAAATGGTTCGGCCTTTGGAACTTGTATTTGGTGTGAAATGAGTTCCTTGCCTCTGGGTCACGCCCTGCAGCCAGTTCCCCTACTTGCCTAGGAGTCAGGAAGAAACTTCTTGGTCCCAAGCCCAGTTAGGGGTGAGGCACTAGCTGGGAGGAAGGCCAGGGAGGGAAGGAGGGTGGGTGACCACTAGGGGTAGCAGCCAGCCAGCCCAGCCCATCTGGGGTGCCTGCTGGTGTGGTCCTCTCCCAGAGAGGGGGGCCTTCCTCCATCTGCCCCTTGAGGAAAAGAGGAGTGGAGGGCCATGAACAGGGATCCAGAGAAAGGAAACACCAAGTCCCAGCGGCATGTGCTGGAAGGGAGGGCTGCTCCTCCCAGGGGAGGTTAAGGACTGAGAGCTGCCCCCAAGAGTGGAAAAGGAGGGAGCTGGGCAAAACCCAGCATTGTTAGTGAGCAGTTCTGTGACCTTGACCTGACCTCACTGATTCTCAGTGTCCTCACTTATAAAAGGGCCAAACAGCCACGCGCAGGCGTGGTGGGCAGCCGGGCTGTCTGAAGATCGCTTGGCTCGAAGCTGGCCCTCATTACACAGCCCTCATCTCCAAGCAGCCTGAGCCTGCACTCTGGGCCCAGGGGAGTGGCTGTCGCTGGCATCCCCTGGAATAACACGCTCCAGGAGTCAAAGATTCCTTAGTTGGAAAGGTCAAGAAAGACTCCCACTGCTTGCCTTCTGCACCAGCGCTGTGCCCCAGCCTGCCAGGCAGAGCCCTCTGATGCCGCAGCGCGCGGCTCACTGAGGATCTGTTGGCTGCAGCGAGTGGAAGGACCTGCTCAACTGGAACTTTTTTTTCCCCTTCCTGGCGACGTCCGATGGGTGTGTCCGGCAGGAGGTGATATTTGACGGGTTGCCCGCGGGCGAGCTGCCGCAGAGTGCCCAGCAGGGGCTGACAGCATGGCCTCCCGCGACCCGCCCGTCACCAGCTACGCCCCGCCCGACGTGCCGTCGGGGGTCGCGCTGCTCCTCACCATCCCCTTCGCCTTTTTCCTGCCCGAGCTGGTGAGTGCGGCCCGCCGGCCACCTGCAGAGAGGGAGGGGCTGTGAAACCTGCCTGGGCCCCAGACCCGACCTCGGTCAGCTCCCTAGAGAAGGGGGACCCAGGGCAGAGGCTGCGGTGGCTGAGGGTCTCCCATGGACGCACAGCAGGATGCAGCTGTACTCAAGCAGCAGATCCCACTCTGTGCTCCCTCTTTGGCCACCAGGGGTTCCTTCCTCCAAAACAAAACCCACCTGGGTGTGGAGGCCTGGGGAAACGTTGCTAAAACGTCCAGGATTCCCAGGAAGAAGTTGGAAATTAATTTTAATAACGTGGAGTCCCTTTCTCCAACTATGTGTGCGTTTTTGGTTTGCAGTGGGAGACTGTTTCCCTCTAAGAGCAGGCCTTCAAGTGTTTTATTGTCATGTCCGCTGACTTTGAACTTTGACTTTGTGGGTCCCCACACAGGGTAGCTATGGCAACATCTGACATGAAACAGTCTGTGAGGCACCCTGGTTGCAAATGAGAACCTGTCACTGTGTTACTCCCTGGGGTGCCCCACAGCTGAGTTGTGTCCCTGATCCCTGGGGAGCCTGGCTGCTCCCATCTGCAGAGCTGTGCGGATGCAGTGTTCTGCACTGCACAAGTCCCCTCTGAACCGGTTGGTACCACACCCTCTTCATGGAGGAGCACTCTCAAGTCTGGGGTCCAGTCAGGACAAAGGAGTGTGTTTTGTTTTTCCAGCACCTTCTGAAATATCTAGCTTGTAGGTGATATTTTCTTACCTGCCCTGACATGCTGTCCCTGACGTGCTGTCCCTGAGCAGGGAGGAAAAGATAGAAAGTGGATTTACTTTTAAATTGGACGGGAGGTGACTAGCCCTTCTCACTCTTGTCATCTGCCTGGAAAGTGGGACCTGATGGAGCCACTTTTAGGCAAACTGGCTAAAGCATGGCCATTGATGGCAACCAGAGAGAACCAGGCAGGGTGGGCCTAGCATCTGCGTGGCTCGGGCTGAAAGCCCACCGAAGAGGCAGGTTTCTGCCAGGGTTGCCACCCCTGGCAGAGCCAGACAGTGGGCATCCTGCCAGACTGATGACATTACTGTGCTCTGATGAGTCCTATGTGCCAGGCCCTAGGTGTGCCCCTCACGTTGGAGCAGCTGCAAGGGCAACTGGGTTACTGGTTGACTCCACCTCTTTTTATTGAGCCTGTGGTTTATGTCAGTCCTGCAGGCCCCCAGTGACAGGGCACTGACTCCTGGTGGTCTCCTGTCTGCCAGGGAGTCGTGAGTGTCTCCTCCCCACAGTTGAACAGTGGCCCCAGCAAGGAGGGATCTGAACCCTCCAGGCCAGGGAGGGGTCCAGGCCTGCCACCAAGAGTTGGACCTCAAAGAACAGGTATTTCTAGGCTGGGGGGAAGAGAGGGAAAGGCCTAGAGGCCAAGGGAGAATTCCTGGCAGGAGGCTAGAGGCATGGAGTGTCTGGAATCAGGAAAACGCCCAGGATGAGAACTGTGAGAGGTCATGGTGGCCCCACCTGCCCTGCTCCTGCCAGTGCAACTCCTGGAAGAGCAAAGCATACACTCTTGTTGGACTCTGGGGACTTACATGCTGTGGGAGATGAAGGGCTCAGTGACAATCAAAATTGACATTGGCCCAATTTTCTTCATTTATTTGTACTGTTAAGTAACGTTAGATTTACAGTCAGGCTGCAATGATAGTACAGAAAGTTCTGTGTACTCTTCCCTCAGTTGCCCCTAATGCCCACATCTTCCACCATACAGCTATTGAAATCAGGAAACTAACACTGATACTGTGCTATAGAGTACTCTATAAACCTTACTCAAATTTTGCTGATTTCCCCACTAATGTCCTTTTACTGGTTCAGGATCCTGGCCAGGATCCCACATTGTACTTAGTTGTCGTATCTCTTTCATCTCCTTTAATCTGGGACAATCTGGGTCTTTCTCTTGACACTTCTGAAGAGTACTGATCAGTTTTTTTGTTGTTGTTTTGCTTTTCAAAAATGTATTTTTCCATAAGCTATTGGGGTACAGGTAGAATCTGGTTACATGAGTAAATTCTTCAGTGGTGAAAAACTTACAGTTCTTCCAGCAGGCCCCGCTTGCTGAGCTCCTCATCCACCATGTCCATCACGTGCTTGGGGACCACAAGCTCCTTCAGCCGCTTTTTTTTTTTTGGCCATAAAAATACTTCATTAGGCCAAACTACACACTATAAAAATGCTTTAAAATGTAGCAGGAGGAGATGTAGTTCCCCCGCTCCCTGGGAAAGCGTTTTGCATCAGCTTCCTTTTAGAGGCGATGATAGAATCTTTGGTGACAATTTTATTGAGGAAAGAAAACAAGGGCTGGAGCAGTTTATAAACAAGGTTCCTGGTCATCCTCTGGCACAGAATGAACATTGTCTTCACATGTTTTTACAAGACGAAATAATAGATAAAAGCTATACTCCATCTAAAATAAGACATGCCTGAAATTTGGCAAGAAGGGGCAAAAACGTGACTATTAGTGATTGATATGCACCAGTGAAGAAGTTCTAACTTTTAGCATGCTGCTCAGAAACTGGTATGACATGCCTTCAGTATACTAACACTCATGCTCGGTTTTGTTTTGGCAGTTGACAAGAGGTTAATTTGCTTTAGTGAAAAATCCCTCATTCCAGCCTTTCTATATGAATAGCTTTCTTGCTGTTTTAATGTGGTGCACACTATAGCCTCACAAACCTGTTATTCCAATGTGATCTGCAGTGTCCTAACTAAAGTTGCTGGCTTGGTCTTAAAAAAAAAAAAAAAAAAAAAAAGCAGCTGCAGGAGCTTGTGGTCCCCAAGCACGTGATGCACGTGGTGGACGAGGAGCTCAGCAAGCTGGGCCTGCTGGATAACCACTCGTCGGAGTTCAACGTCACCCGAAACTACTTAGATTGGCTCACATCCATCCCTTGGGGCAAGTACAGCAAGGAGAACCTGGACCTGGCACGGGCCCAGGCACTGCTAGAGGAAGACCACTACCGCATGGAGGACGTCAAGATACGCATCCTGGAGTTCATCACCGTCAGCCAGCTCCGAGGCTCCACCCAGGGCAAGATCCTCTGCTTCTGTGGGCCCTCTGGTGTGGGCAAGACCAGCATCGACTGCTCCATCACCTGCGCCCTCAACAGAGAGTACTTCTACTTCAGCATCGGGGGCATGATGGACGTGGCTGAGATCAAGGGGCACAGGCGGACCTACTAGGTGCTAGGCCCGGGAAAATCATCCAGTGTCTGAAGAAGACCAAGACGGAGAACCCCCTGATCCTCATCAACGAGGTGGACAAGATCGGCCGGAGCTACCAGGGGGACCCTTCATCGGCGCTGCTGGAGCTGCTGGACCCAGAGCAGAACACCAACTTCCTGGACCACTACCTGGACGTGCCCGTGGACTTGTCCAAGGTACTGTTCATCTGCACGACCAATGTCACGGACACCATCCCTGAGCCACTGCGGGACCGCATGGAGATGATCAACGTTTCCGGCTACGTGGCCCAGGAGAAGCTGGCTATCGCAGAGCATTACCTGGTGCCCCAGGCCCGCGCCCTATGTGGCCTGGAAGAGAACAAGGCCAAGCTGTCGTCCGACGTGCTGTCACTGCTCATTAAGCAGTACTGCCGCGAGAGCGGTGTTCGCAACCTGCAGAAGCAGGTGGAGAAGGTGTTGCGGAAGTCGGCCTACAAGATTGTCAGCGGCGAGGCCGAGTCCGTGTAGGTGACAGCCGGGAACCTGCAGGACTTTGTGGGGAAGCCTATGTACAACGTGACGCCACCCGGAGTGGTCATGGGCCTGGCCTGGACAGCCATGGGAGGCTCCACATTGTTTGTGGAGACATCCCTGAGGCGGCCACGGGACAAAGATGCCAAGGGTGAAAAGGACGGCAGCCTGGAGGTGATAGGCCAGCTAGGGAAGGTGATGAAGGAGAGTGCCCGCATCGCCTACACCTTGGCCAGGGCCTTCCTCATGCAGCACACCCCTGACAACAAGTACCTGGTGACCTCACACATCCACCTGTATGTACCTGAGAGTGCCATCCCCAAGGACGGCCCAAGCGCAGACTGCACCATCGTCACGGCCCTGCTGTCCCTGGCCATGGGCAGGCCCGTCTGGCAGAACCTGGCCATGACTGGTGAGGACTCTCTCAGAGGCAAGATCCTCCCTGTTGGCGGCATCAAGGAGAGGACCATCGCGGCCAAGCACTCAGGCATGACGTGCATCGTCCTACCAGTTGAGAACAAGAAGGACTTCTGCGACCTGGCAGGCTTCATCACCGAGGGCTTGGAGGTGCACTTCATGGAGGACTACCGCCAGATCTTCGACCTCGCCTTCCCGGAGAAGCAGGCAGAGGCGCTCGCTGTGGAGCGGTGATGGTCACCCCAGGACTGCAGGCGGCAGATGTCCGGCCCTATCTGGGCCCGAACTGAGCCCTTCGGGGAGCGCAGCAGGGCCTGGCAGCAGAGCCACCGAGCAAGCAGCTTGGTCCAGCGGCCCAGATCCCAGGGACCCCCAGTCAGTTTAATCAGTGTTGCATAGGACCTATTTAATCATTAAAGTCATTTCCAGTAAAAAAAAAAAAAAAAAAAAGATTTTGGTGCACTCATCACCCATGTATACACTGCACCGTATTTGTAGTTTTTTATCCCTCATCTCCCTCCCACTCTTCCCCCGAAGTCCCCAAAGTCCATTGTACCATTCTTGTGCTTTTGTGTCCTCATAGCTTAGCTCCCACATATCAGTGAGAACATATGATGTTTGGTTTTCTATTCCTGAGTTACATCACTTAGAATAAGAGTCGCCAATCTTATCCAGGTCACTGAAAATGCTGTTAAGTCATTCCTTTTTATGGCTGCATAGTATTCCATATATATATATATATATATACATGTATATAATATATATATATATACATGTATATATATATATATACCACAGTTTCTTTATCCACCCGTTGATTGATGGGCATTTGGGTTGGTTCCACAATTTTGTAATTTTGAATCGTGCTCCTATAAACATGCATGTGCAAGTATCTTTTTTGAATAACATCTTCTTTTCCTATGGATAGATACCCAGTAGTGGGATTGCTGGATTGGATGGTAATTCTACTTTTAGTTCTTTAAGGAAACTCCATACTGTTTTCCATAGTGGATATACTAGTTTGCATTCCCACCAGAAGGGCAGAAGTGTTTCCTGTTCACTATATCCACACCAACATCTGTTGATTTTTTGATTATGGCCATTCTTGGGGGAGTAAGGTGGGATTGCTTTGTGGTTTTGATTTGCATTTCCCTGATCGTTAGTGATGTTGAGCATTTTTTCATATGTTTGTTGGCCATTTGCATATCTTCTTTTGAGAATTGTCTATTCATGTTCTTAGCCCACTTTTTGATGGGATTTTTTGTTTGTTTGTTATGTTTTGTTTTGTTTTGCTTTTGAGACAGAGTCTCGCTCTTTCACCCAGGCTGGAGTGCAGTGGCACGATCATGGCTCACTGCAATCTCCTCTTCCCAGGTTCAAGTAATTCTCCTGTTTCAGCCTCCCAAGTAGCTGGGACTATAGGGGCGTGCTACCATGCCCGGCTAATTTTTTGTATTTTTAGTAGAGATGGGGTTTCACCATGTTAGCCAGGATGGTCTTGATCTCCAGACCTCGTGATCTGCCTGCCTTGGCCTCCCAGAGTGCTGGGATTACAGGCATGAGCCATTGTGCCCTGTCTGTTTGTTTTTTTCTTACTGATTTGTTTGACTTCCTTGTAGTTTCTGGATATTAATCCTTTGTCAGATGAATACTTTGAGAATATTTTCTCCCACTCTGTGGGTTGTCTGTTTACTCTACTGTCTGTACCTTTTGCTATGCAAAAGCTCTTTAGTTTAATTAGGTCCCAGCTATTTATCTTTGTTTTTATTGCATTTGCTCTTGGGTTTTTTGTCATGAAATCCTTGCCTAAGCCAATGTCTAGAAAGGTTTTTTCAATGTTATTTTCTAGAATTTTTATACTTCCAGGCCTTAGGTTTAAATCCTTAATCCATCTTGAGTTGATTTTTGCATAAGGTGAGAGATGAAGATCCACTTTCATTCTCCTACGTGTGGCTTGCTGATTATCCCAGAACCATTTGTTGAAAAGGGTGTCCTTTCCCCAGTTTATGTTTTTGTTCGCTTCGTCACAGATCAGTTGACTGTAAGTATTTGGGTTTATTTCTGGGTTCTCTACTGTTCCATGGGTCTATGTGCCTTATTTTATACCAGTACCACACTGTTTTGGTGACTATGGTCTTATAGTATAGCTTGAAATCAGGTAGTGTGATGCCTCCAGATTTGTTCTTTTTGCTTTGTCTTGCTTTGGCTATGTGGGCTGTTTTTTTTGGTTCCATATTAATTTTAGATTTTTTTTTCTAATTCTGTGAAGAATGATGGTGGGATTCTGATAGGGATTGTGTTGAATTTGTAGATTGCTTTTGGCAGTATGGTTGTTTTCACTATATTGATTCTACCCATCCATGAGCATGGGATGTGTTTCCATTTGTGTCATCTGTGATTTATTTCAGCAGTGTTTTGTAATTTTCCTTGTAGAGGCCTTTCGACTTCTTGGTTAGGTATATTCCTCAGTATTTTATTTATTTATTTTTTTCAGCTATCGAGAAAGGGGTTGAGTTCTTGATTTGATTCTCTGGTCATTGTTGGTGTATAGAAAAGCTACTGATTTGTGTACACTAATCTTGTATCTGGAAACTTTGCTGAATTCTTGTATCAGTTCTAGGAGATTTCTGGAAGAGTCCGTAGAATTTTCAAGGTAAATGATCGAATCATCAGCAAACAGTGACAGTTTGACTTCCTCTTTACCAATTTGGATGCCCTTTATTTCTTTCTCTTTTCTGATTGCTCTGGCTAGGACTTCCAGGTTGAAAAGGAGTGGTGAGAGTGGGCATCCTTGTCTTGTTCCAGTTCTCAGAAGGGATGTTTTCAACTTTTCCCTATTCAGTGTTATGTTGGCTGTGGGTTTATCATAGGTGGCTTTTGTTACATTAAGGTATGTCTCTTGTATGCCAATTTTGCTGAGAGTTTTGACCATAAAGGGATGCTGGATTTTGTCAAATGCTTTTTCTGCATCTGTTGAAATGATCGTGTGATTTTTGTTTTTAATTCTGTTTATGTAGTGTATCACATTTATTGACTCGCATATGTTAAACCATCCCTGCATCCCTGGTATGAAACCCACTTGATCATGGTAGATTATTTTTTTGATATGTTATTGGATTCGGTTAGCTAATATGGATTTTAGCATCTATATTCATCAGTGATATTGGTCTGTAGTTTTTTGGTTATGTCCTTTCCTGATTTTGGTATTAGGATGATGCTGGCTTCACAGAATAAATTAGGGAGGGTTCCTTCTTTCTCTATCTTGTGGAATAGTGTCAAAAGGATTTATACCAATTCTTCTTTGAATATCTGGTAGAATTCTGCTGTGAATCCATCTGGTCCTGGACTTTTTTTGTTGGTAATTTTTAAATTACCATTTCAATCTTGCAGCTTACTATTGGTCTGTTCAGCGTATCTAATTCTTCCAGACTTAAGCTAGGAGGGTTGTGTTTTTACAGGATTTCATCCATCTCTTCTAGGTTTTCTAGTTTATGTGTGTAAAGGTGTACATAGTAGCCTTGAATAATCTTTTGTATTTTGGTGGTGTCAGTTGTAAAGTGTCCTGTTTCATTTCTTAGTTAGGTTATTTGGATTTTCTCTCTTCCTTCTTTGGTTAATCTTGCTAATGGTCTATTGATTTAATTTATCTTTTCAAAGAATCAACTTTTTGTTTCATTTATCTATTTTTTTTCTTTTTTTGAGACAGAGTCTCGCTCTTGTTGCCCAGGCTGGAGTGCAATGGCGTGATCTTAGCTCACTGCAACCTCTGCCTCCTGAATTCAAGTGATTCTCCTGCTTCAGCCTCCCAAGTAGCTGGGTTTATAGGGATGTGCCACCATGCCTGGCCAATTTTTGTATTTTTAGTAGAAATGGGATTTCTCCATTTTAGTTGGTCTTGAACTCTTGACCTAAGGTGATCCGCCTGCCTTGGCCTCCCAAAGTGCTGGGATTACGGGCATGAGCCACTGCTCCTGGCCTGTTTCATTTATCTTTTATGTTTTTCATTTGTTTGTTTCAATTTCATTTGGTTCTGCTCTGATCTTGGTTATTTCCTTTCTTCTGCTGGGTTTGGGTTTGGGTTGTTCTTGTTTCTCTAGTTCCTTGAGGTGCAACTTTAGATTGTCTATTTGTGCTCTTTCAGACTTTTTGATGTAAGTGTTTAGGGCTACGAACTTTCTATTTAACATCCCATTTGCTATATCCCAGAGATTTTAATAAGTTGTATCATTATTGTCATTCAGTTTGGAGAATTTTTAAATTTTCATCTTGATTTTGTTTTTGACGCAATGCTCATTCAGGAGCAGGTTATTTAATTTCCATGTATTTGCATGGTCTTGAAGATTCCTTTTGAACTTGATTTCCAGTTTTATACCACTGTGATCTGAGATAGTGCTTGATATAATTTCAATTTTCTTAAATTTATTGAGTCTCAATTTATGGCCTATCATATGGTCTATCTTGGAGAAAGTTCCACGCACTGTTGAATAGAATGTATATTTCACAGTTTTTGAATGAAATGTTCTGTATATGTGTATGTGCCTAAAATATCTTTTAAGTCCATTTGTTCCAAGGTATAGTTTAAATCCATTGTTTCTTCCTTGATTTCTGTCTTGATGACCTGTGTAGTGCTGGTGGTGGAGTATGGAAGTCCCCCACTATTATTGTGTTGCTGTCTATCTCTTTTCTTAGGTCTATTAGTAATTGTTTTATAAATTTGGGAGCTCCAGTGTTAGGTGCATATATGTTTAGGATTGTGATATTTTCCTGTTGGACAAGGCCTTTTACCATTACATTCTGTCCCTCTTTGACTCTTTTAACTGATGTTGCTTTAAAGTTTGTTTTGTCTGATATAAGAATAGCTACCCCTGCTCACTTTTGGTGTCCATTTGCATGAAATGACTTTTTCTGACCTTATACATTAAGTTTATGTGAGTCCTTATGTGTTAGGTGAGTCTCCTCAAGGTAGCAGATAGTTGGTTGGTGAGTTCTTATCCATTCTGAAGTTCTGTATCTTTTTAAGTGGAGTATTTAGGCCATTTACACTCAATGTTAGTATTGAAATGTGAGGCACTTTTGCATTCACCATGCTCTTTGTTTCCTGTGTACTTTGTTTTTTGCTTTTTAACTTGTATTTTTGTTTTATAGGTCCTGTGTTATTTATGCGTTAAAGTGGTTCTGTTTTGATGTGTTTCCAGGATTTGTTTCAAGATTTAGAGCTCCTTTTAGCAGTTCTTGTAGTGGTGGTTTGGTAATGATGAATTCTCTCAGCATTTTTTTGTCTGAAAATGACTGTATCTTTCCTTCATATATGATGTTTAATTTTACTGGATACAAAATTCTTGGCCGATAATTGTTTTTTGTTTGAGAAGGCTGAAGATAGGTCCCCAATCCCTTCTAGCTTGTCGGGTTTCTGATGAGAAATCTGCTGTTAATCTGATAGGTTTTCCTTTATAAATTACCTGGTGCTTCTGTTTCATAGCTCTTAAGATTCTTTCCTTCATCTTAACTTTGGATAACTTGATGACAATGTGCCTAGGGGAAGATCTTTTTGCAATGAATTTCCCATGTGATCTTTGTGCTTCTTGTATTTGGCTGTCTATGTCTCTCACAAGGCTGGGAAAGATTTCCTTGATTATTCCTCCAAATATATTTTCCAGGGTTTTAGAATTCTCTTCTTCCTCAGGTACACTAATTATTTTCAGATTTGGTCATTTAACATAATCCCAGACATCTTGGAGGTT